ATCAGTGCCGGACCAGAAAGGTTTTGCAACAGTAAATAAGGACTGTAAACAGAAGACGTGCATTATTTCTTGTTTAATTGATGTTAGTTTGGTACGAATGCCTTTTACATTTGAATTTGACTGTGCTGATAATCAGATAAATAAATAATTCAAAGTTTAATTTTGTTTTGAGTCTACGAAAATGAAAGAGAATGAATGATTTTCATACACGACCAAAATAAATATAATATCGGTCAAATTTAGATTGTTTGTTTAGATTTGTGAGATTTAGAGAATTTTCGTTACCGGTACCAACCAGGCAATGCTGGTTGCCTAAGCTCGGTGGTCATGTGGCTTGTAAACATTTGTGAAGGCTCTGTTTTATTCTAATATATAAATATTGAATATATCTAACGGCGAACGGTAAGAAAACTATTACAAAACTTATTGACGAAAAATGTTCCAAAATTTTATTACAATGAAAATATGCCATTAATTGTTATATTCTCGGTTATATTTGTGAAAAGTGAACAATGTGTTTTCGTTATTTTCAAAATATTTGTTTCCCAGAATAAAATATTTTTTGGAGAATATTATATTAGAGCCTAACCATGACTTGTACAAAAATATTTATTGGAAGAAACCAAATACTTAATCATAATTAATGACTAAATTAATAGTGTAATTCCCAAACAGAAAACTTCTTCTGGGAAATAAATTTATAGTGACTACGAACAGTCAAAGGTGTATCTAGGGAAGAACAGCATCAGCCATTGTTGTGCATGCATGCGCATTATTATGGATAAAACGAAGCATTAGTTTATTGTTCAAGTGAAAAATTGTTTTCTCAAAATGTGGAAATCTCCCAGCTTAACTAGTAATAATTGCATATGATATGCCTGTTTATGTGTTCATTAATTTGCTTTTAGACGAATTGAGTAGGAAAAAATGTTTAAGAAAGCTTAATTGATTGCCACCTAATCATCATTTAAAAAAATATAACAAAAACGGGACAATGTTTAAATTTATTAATAACAAGTCATATGTAGTTATCGCTAATGGATTTAAGAGTACATAAAAAAGAAATAATGCATTTCCGTGAAAGCTACAAATATTCTACAAATTGAATATCATTTTCAAGAAAAATGTGTTTAGTTGTGCACAGAAAACATTTAATCTATTTTGTCTTTAAATTTCCACAGTATATATTTTCATTCAAATTAATGCTTTTTTAACTCCAAATTCATCTTTAATACGCCAAATACAAATAAATGATAAATCTTATCTATCCCAATTAATTACGTTCTTCAGTACATTTATTAGCAAATTCTCTATCACATTATCTGAAAACATTTCGCTTCTCTATAGCATCCCATAACATAAATCAAATCACCAGTTTCGGAACATAAAATACAAAGGGCCAAACCGCTCACTCCAACCCTGGCCTCCACCGAGACGAGCCTCCTCCGATGGGGAAGTGTCACTATTTTCGACGGACGATCCTAAAAACATGCCCAGAATAGCCGGGCTGGCTGGAAGCAAGCGACGGCAACACAGGAGCCTCCGCCGCAAAGGTCCCACCACCAGCACCCATCTCCGACATTTCGGGTATTACGGAGCCCGATACCCATCTGGTAAATATATCTTCAGCGATGCGGCGCGACACGGAGACGCCACATTTTTCATCCATCTAGAGAGCTCGGAGTGATTTTATTTCGGCACTGCCCGACGTCCCGCGGTGTACCGGGACCCGACACGAAACCACGAGAGCGAAATGATCGGCAGGTAGGCGATTGTCGTATTTCAATTCCCGAGTGTATTTCGGATTTCACTCAACCTTTCCAACAGCAGAAACTGTCCAATCCGCAGCAGACGACATCAGGGAAGCTCTATGCACTTGGCAGAGCGACCACCGATGATCATCGCAGAACACTCAAAATTTCATCCGCTTCGAATTTTTTTGCCAAAGAGGCCAGGAACTTAACAAAATTCGATATAGGATGCAAGACCGAGATTCTTTACACAAATCTAAAATAACAGCCAGATTGCACGATGGGAGAAGTTCGCATCCATGAATTGTTCAAATTGCGACAGGCACGTGTGAGAAATCATCGAAAAGCAGTCCCCGAGACATAGCGGAGCCACCATGACGCGTGATCGAACGTCGATGGTATGGTATGGTATCTTGCATTTTCGAGGGTACCACACTACAAATCCAAAAAAAAACCTGAAAAGCCAAATACAGTTTTTTGTACATTCGCTGAACGAATTTCAACTATTATATCTCCTGTTATACATATATTAGCAATATTTTGTAAAAATTAACAGTATTTTTTAAATATTTTGTTGCGAGCGTATTTCCCGAAACATAAAACACCAATCTAGACCGAGACTTTGGCTGTGACGAAGATCTTAAGGGATAAAATAGTGCAAAAAGACTGTGACAGGTACAGAAATGGTGAAAAAATAGCCAAAGTCTAAAAAGCGCCCACAATTCCTAAGAATTAAAACATTTGAGCAGAAAACGGCAAAGTTGAAAGCCTTTCTACCAAACTAGAGCTATTACGAGAGTGTATCCAGTGTGGACAGCGTGGATCAAACCGCTAATCAGAATAATGGTCCAAGAATTGGCGGAACTACCATGACGCGTGATCGAACGTCGACTCTGATATCTTGCATTCCCCAAGTGTCCATGCTATGGTGCTATGAGAGAGGTGACCGAAAACCTTGACTACCTCTTTGCATTTTGGTGTAGTAGACGGTTTTACCCACAAAAAAAGGTACGGAAAAAATAAATGCAAGACGCCGTGCCATCAGTGGATGCATTCTGCAGCTCGCGCATCCATCCGTCATCTCAAAGAAAGCCGAGCGGAGGGGGTGACCGCACAATACTGAGGGGTGTAACTCAATCCCTCGTCCGCAATGCCGATGCGTCAGTCTAAATTGACACCAATTACCAGTAAAACTCCCTGCTTTGGCTCCCCCTGCTTTTTGCAAACAGCATCACGAAAATGAGCTAATACACTCAGCGTTCGGCGCCCCCACGCCGCACCCTTCCGCGCGGACCATCTTCGATTTCCAGTGGGACTTGGACGCCACCTCCGGCCGACTTGTATACTACAATTTTGCCCGTAAGCGGTCCGCTTTTGAACGATTTCTGGCCACCTGCACTAATTATGCCCATTATACCATTATACAGGGTGAACCTTAAGCGTGCACTTATATTTTAAGAAACAGTACAATTTACTGTGTGGAATTAAGAGCATTTTGGGAAAACATTATGGATAAGAAAGTCAAATTCAAAGTAAATTTTTTAGAACAAAACCTGTTGAGAAGCGCTGACTTCTCCGTAACAGAACACATAGATATGCAGTGTTGTCGGTGTTACACATAACTCTTAGACTAACTTTTTAAATAAAGTGGGAAGATAATCATGAGACGAAAAAATTAAATAAATGAGCATATTTTTAAACGATGGGCAAAAAACTTGGAAATAAATATCTTCATAAAAATATTTACAGACTCCTTGCCATTTCTATTTTCACTAAGCTATTTTTATGTACCTACAGTTATATTGAGCTTCTACTACACCTTACATATTTTTTTTAATCAAAACCAATTCCTCTCCCGAGTACGCACTCTTTTTACGCATCTCAGTGGCCAGATAAAATTGCTTGAATTGTAAATTACGTTTCGATAGATATTTTAAATTTTCTATTATTAGTACACAGGGGTTATGTCTTTATCAGGAGCGTGACGTTATTTGGTACCTAAAAATGAATAGTAATTTAATTCCATGACTCTTTGGAAACAACAATTTTTGCTGTGAACATTCGAATCAGTATACAAATCAAGTAAATCCAGATGAGCTATGTAGGTATTATTTCAAAACATGTTCAGCATTAAAAATCATAATTTATTGATTCAGCACAATAAGAATAATTTTTCAGACAAAAATTTGTCATAGGATGTGCATTAATATTTTTTACTTGGGCACTTAGTTTATATGAAAAAATTTGAAGAGACTATTTTCAGTGAAAAAAGAAGTCATTCTCCTTTCGATCAGGTCCTAAACTAATGTGCAATGCGTATAATTGTAATTTACTATGAACATGGCAATTCGATATTAATATATAATTAACTTTCGTTTTTAAAAATATGTCAATGTTGAAAATATGTTCTTATTATCAGAAGTCGGTTATAATTATTATACACACACTAGTAAATAAGTAAATAAAAGAGTAAATAATTTAATAAAAGAAAGAGTCTAAATTCATTACCATAAGATTTTTTTTTCTCAATGAACAAGGGGTACTGAGCTGTAAAATTCATTAAACTTTTACACCTATTAAGGTGTCACCTTTCGTTTGATTAAAATATCAAAATTAACGCTATTATAGATGCTTTATTTAATTCCCGGAAGAACATATTTCCCCATATTTATTCGTAATGTAAATACCGATTCCTGAATATAAAATCAAGCTCATTAAAAATCATTTGAATATATTTAATGTATTATAGTATAGACAAGAATGTGTCTCTGGAGTTTGTTTACTTTGATTTATATCTCGGCGAATGACAATAAATCACCCAACCATATAGCAATAATAATAATGTGGGTGACAATAAAAGAGTTCTTGTGGGAAACGACAATTGCATACAATGGTCTATGGGTATTAGTATTACCAAATGAGTCTCGGTGATGTATAAAAAAATTGTAACCGCGTTTGACAGTAACGATCTTAGTTCCTGGGGTAATTTGTGTTAGGTAAGTAGTTGCGCCTATTTTCTGAACTTTATGATTCTAATTACAGACAGTGATCTTTTTAAAAATCATAAAATCTAACAAAAGGAGTATTCAATCTTTGATCTTTGGATTATTTCTTCAATCAACATCAGTTATCTGCGTAAATGTGAACTGAACTCGCAGTTAAACGAGTTTTAGAAATTCACGTTCGATAATATGGCACATAAGAGGAGGGTGAGAGAAAGGTCGGGTCATATAAAAAAAATGTACTTACGACATCCGGCGTGCTGGCTCCATCTGTGTGCGATGTTGAGTCCGCATTACTCCTGGTACCACCGTCACCATTTGTGGAACCGGCCAGTTCGGGCGGTTTTCCGCTGTCCCTCTCGTCTATCACTAAGTCTATTGGCATTTTACCTTTCAAACAACTGATATATCGATGACAGAAATTGTCACAGAGTTCGTGCACCTGCAAATAAAACAAGCATTATACGTTATTTTATAAACACTACACAATAATATAGTTCTAAATTAGTTCTCACTAATACATAGTCACATAGATAGAAATAGTGACAACCACGTTATGTTAAATTGTTATAGAACAGTTTTAACTTACTGAATTGGCATAAAATTTATCTTTTCCCACGTAACAGTATTCAGAAAGTATTTTAAATTAAATCAAGAGTTTCTTGAAAGATATTCAATTCTTGCTCAACTCAGGGAATCAGCGTGGGTTCAGTTATTCTTAAATTTCAACGCTAACCTAATAAACGACACCGGACATGGGCAGACGGATGGAAAACACGCTAGTTTTTACGTTTTTAATATATCCGTAGGACTGCTTTAATGGCTATTGAAAAACAAATCTCCTACTAAGTTTATTACGAGTTTTTGTTAAACTGGATTTTATGGTACCTATGGATTGCCAATGGACAAAAATGTTAGTTCGGGCCGCCCACAGGCCTGTCTATTAAATGCCAGGTTGAAAAGTTCTTTATACTTTTACGAGCTGCACGTGACGCGCAGTCAGCCACCCTAACACTTTTAATACACTGGCCGATACAATTTAGAAACCTTATCAAATGGAAATAAAATGTATTTCATACGTTCATAGCGCTTTCTGTTTCCATTGCAATGGACCCAGACAATTACTGCGAGTACTGAAATCCGATAATAGTATTTACGTTTATGCGATAGTGTTTACATTAGTTTTTCAAGTGTCAAAAATGGTTTACGTGTATAATAACTCGGGAGTTGATGGATATCGTTTTAATTTATGGTGAAGCAAGACAACATATGTGTTATGGTGAAGCATTTGTGTTATGGTGAAGTAAGACAACATTTGCGTTCGTAGAAACTGGGTAAGACGGGTTCAAATGTGTTTACATGGCGGGGGACAAATGTTTGAAATTATTTTAATAATTAAAACCATCAATTAATTTTATTAATTAATAACAAAAATAGCGGCAGAAGTAGTTGAATTTGCTGATATAAAATATATGTTATAAAATTTTATTTATTTCTTTCCTTGGGAAATAGCAATTCAATTATTTATCCACTTATTTTTTATTACACTTTGCCGCCGTGCCGGTCGCCGACTGCATGCTTTGTCTTGTGTAAAGTGAGGTTTTACAGTGGACCGTTTCCAGTGCCGTGCAGAAGTGTACTTTCAAATAATTTTCGAACTGCGCTTTTTAATTTTCTTTTACAAAACTGTATTTGTAAGAGTCTCCTGTGCACTCAAAATTTTTAGTTTGGAATTTATTTAAAAATACTCCAATTCAAAAAAACGATGTTTAACTAAAACTTGCTTTTTTTTAATAAGGACAACAGACCCTTGTCCCTATCTTGTGTCGTCCAGTGTAGAAACAACATCCTCCGCTCTTGGTAGACGTGAAAGAAGTTTAGGTGTTCAGCGGCACATTCTATTATCGGTCGGCGGTTCGAGGCCCAAGATAAACCCGGACAGCATTTCTAAAAACATATTAGGCCCGCACAGTCTTAATGACCCTAAATTAGAATTCTCTGTTTGGTGATTAGATAGAAGAAGCTAAGCTGGGAAACATCTCCGAAATGTAATAAATGTAATTTGTGTATCTGTTTCGGAAAAACTTCTATTGATTGTTAATCAGAAGGCCCATTTTGAAATGAAGTCAGACAGGAATCATTCCATCAGCTCATTCGAAGTACGTTTGGTGGCCGCGACAGCCGAATATATACAGGGTGACCCTCAACTGATGGTTGGTCGCCATTACACAAACACCGAAAGAGCAATAAACGGGGATCACTATCGCAGGATGATATAAGTATTTGGCATAAAATTCCATTTTGGCAAGTTTATCACCTTGTCTTCTCAATTTCTTAATTAATTTTTTAGATGTTGTGAAACTGCTCTTTTCTAAGCTACTTTTATTTAGAGTGTTTCCATATCGCTTCCCTTCTCGATAAAATTAGTAACAGACTTTATCGAATCAGTGCTTTTCTCTATACCTTCTATACATATCATTTTATATCTTCTGAACAAAAAGAGATGTCGAAAACTTTTTACTAAAAGTTATTGAGAAAAATGAGAACTTTTGTATGACTTAAAAATAATTCCGATGACATCACAACCTTTAGAATGGCAAGCTTAACAAGAGTCAAGTCGCATATTATATCATCATACCATTATGCTTGCAGTTTTCTATTTTCTCTTGCTTTTTCCTATTATAGCGGTTAAGCAATAATTCTGGGTCACCCTGTACATACGTAGGTACGTAAAAAAGGAACTTGCTCTGCCATCTTAACTGTTTATCTCCAATTTTATAAACAGAACATTTGGAGAATAATAACATTGAAGAGTAACAGGTGCTATTTGTTTCACTCAATGAATAACTAAATCAGAAACAATTAAAAATTGACACGTTATTTAGTTACATTTTTTTTAAATTGGGATATAGTGCATCATCTTCAGGAAGTTTTAAAGACAACATATAATGCTGGCAAATAGTACAATATTAGTCACTTGAAGTCTATTGCTAGTGGATAGTCCAGCAATGGCAACCGATCCAAATCACCCACTTGGGTAGAGAATTAAAGATTTTTAGAAATGTATAAAATAGTCATCTTAATGAAGTATCTGTTTTCAACCTTGTAGAAATTACTTAAATTTCTTGGTCTAAATCTAATTAAACCATGGTGTTTCTCTATCACCTGCATTATCTACACTTTCCACACCAACTATGCAATCTCTTTCGAAAGAAGTGTTTCTAAATTACTCCCGCACTTTACTTTCTTTGAACGGTTTCAACTGGCTATCAGAAATTATATCGATTTATACACCAACTGTAGTTACTGGTGTATTTTGCACTGAAGCAAATGGTACAAGTCTCCTGACCACACTTTTCTCCACGGGGCGCAGCTTAGTGTAGGTGAAATATCCCATGCGAGTTTCTATCTTCGGGTATTGCCACTTCCCTTGAACCCTGAAGACAATTTTTACTAGAAATTAGACAACGTCTAATTAAGATCAAGGCCGATAGCACCTCCGAAAGACCCGTTTTTCGTCCGAGGCGCGCAACGAAACGATGATTCGTGATTCGTGATCGATCCTCTCATCCACCGCGAGCTATATCGTCTCGTTTGCATGTGCAAGGAAGGATGATCGGCGGCCGGCCTCTCAGGCCTGACCGGCCAGGCCGTTGCTCAAGATGGCCGGCCAAAAGACGTCTGCGGTAACCGGTTATGTGCATTTGCCTTGCAACAAGATTATAATATCGCAACGGAGAGAGAGATGAGCCGCTCGATAGTGTCCCCTTTTAGCAATTTAAATGTGGCTTCGAATGCAAAGCGATGCGATGGCCATCCGGCGATCGGACTGCATTCTGCCGCGCAATTTCCATATTTTTACATGTCGGCATTTAATACGGGGAATCTGAGACGACGACGATGATGGGCCCGACGGATCCATCGTGTGTAACCCGAGCAGTGCATTGTGCCGATGTCGCTGGCTGTGTTATTGATCTCGCATTTTCCTACTTTCCGCCTAATTAGCTAGCAGCGGGCGGATTTCACTCCAAGCCAGCCAAAAATCCGTTCCGAACCGAAACGGGCCAGTGGCGTCCTGCCTCCACAGACATTTCTGCCAAAACAGTGCCTCTAAAGAGCAAAATAGTTGCTTCTCACAGTTGCAGCTTTCAGAAATATACTTCAACTTCTTTCATTCCTTGAAAGTAAGAAGGGTGACCCAGAACTTATGGTTAGTCGCCATTGCAGGAAAACGGAGAGAAAAGAGGAAACCGCAAGCGGAGATTTTTACACCTTGGTGATATATGTATTTGAAAATTCCGTCTTGGTAAACTTACTACCGTGTGAAATCACTAAATCAAGCCTACACTGATTCTGTCATTGATGTGGAAAGAAAGATATGTTCAATGTTTATATGCATTATTGACATTATTGACAAATTTACAGTATTTATTTTGAAATTAAAACTCAATGCAAAAGCAAATATAGTTCCGATTTTTGGGAGGCTCGGAAAGATTCGAAATAAGCAATACGGCAAATGATTTAGTGAATAATGAATACAAATATGGAATACATCTTGTTTTCCGGCAATGCCAATAAAATAAGGAAAGGAATCAGTGTTTTTCATACACATACAATCATATCTTTTGAACAGGAAGAGGTATCAAAAACCTTTTTTTATTGAGAAAAATTAGTCAACAGTCAAATGTTGGCTTAGTGGTTTTAGGGCTTTGGGCGTTTGCTAATAATAAAAGTAGGACTATTTCCCGGGTTGTTATGCCTTGGTCTGTGTGCTTCATAGCGAAGAATTTGCAGAGTTACACTGAAGATGCTGACACTAAAGAACAGCCGAAACGTTTGGAATCATTGGAACGACCAGTTGCATAGGCCACTGGGGAATGTCTAAGAGGATAACCATTTCCCGGTGGAAGGAGCGGCTTTTATATTCTATTAAACGTTTCGCTTGCGGATTCCTATCATTGTTTTTTTATTTGTAATGGCTACCAACTACCAATTCTGGGCCATCTTGTCATTAACTAGTCATAGACTATGCCACAATCATACTAAGACTTGATGATACAAAAGATAATTCTTCATACTTCTCAGAGGTTCGCTAATTATATTTGACGGGTTAACAGCTGTGGTGCTTCTTATACCCATATATAGTGACGAGTATGTCGCACTTACATGTTTTTATCGTTTGGTCAATTAAATAATATGTATCTTGTAATTATTAATAAAGTGAAAACAAAAAGGTGTCAGAGTTCTGATTATAAAGACAACCGAGGAATAAGATTTTCACCTGTCAATAAAACTGATTCGACGTAATAAATTATACTTTTCCACTACAATCTTCTTGACTTCCAGTTCTTTTGCTGTAAATTTTTGCATTTTTAAGCAGATGCCTATGAAACTATGATAATGCTAATGATGATGATTGATTATAACGATGATTATAGCGAAGATGATGGCAATGATGAGGGTTTGATTGTATGTTTATATATCAATATCAAACCACAAATACAATCTTCTATCCATTTAGTATCCTTAGTTGTCGTCGTAAGTATCTAGAGCAAGTTTTAAACCAAGACAGTTAATGTATAACTCGCTTCCTTGTTTGTTTGTTGCTTTTGATTCCTTGATGTTGCAAAACTTATCACAAAGTTACCTTTTTATGATCTAGCAAGGCCTTAAGTGTTTCGTAGCCTTTCTCAAAATTCGTTTAGACTTTAGCACAAGATTTACCAACAACTTTGCATGATGCTTGTCTATCTGTGTGTCAACACATTGACCACAGTGTAAGTTAAGTGAAAAAAAGGCTAAACATTAACTTTCTTATTTCAAGGGGTTCTAGTGACAAAGTATTCATACACTAGTTGGTACGTGAACGGTTGCAAAATCGAACGTTTTATATTTTCTGATGATTGTTCTCTATAAAATTAGGAGAAACTGCCCAGGTTATTGGGGTATACCCTGGCACGTTAGCAACCCCGAAGCAATTTTAATAGCCGGGATGGGGCAAACTTTCACACGGATCGTAATTACTCGAGGAGCCTGCCCTCTACCCTAACACCGGTGTATCTATAACGCGGGGTTAACAAAGAATTATCGCCGACCCCGGTTAGTTTTCGTCGGAGTTATGGAAAATTGGAGTGTTATGAGGGGCGAAAAATGCTTACCTTTTCTAACTCGAGGAGATGAAACCGAAGTACTTGTATTGCCTGCACCATCTGCAAAGAAAAATAAATCAATTAGAGCATGCCGTGGAATATAAAAATATGGGTTAATCCCTTACAAATTTATGTAAAATGTGGGGGAGGTGAAATTCGTTTGGCTCTAGTTGGTATCTTGAAGGCCGAAAGAGGAAAATTTCTGTTAATGCCACTGAATTTGCAGTGGTCAGAATCAAGTATTTCATATCAAGTAAGGAATACTATTTTCTCTATTCGCATCCATATAATCTTGTCAATTTAATTGAAAATGAAGTGTCACACTGCAAATTATTAATTATTTTTTAGTTGCTTTAATAGGAAGTATCACACGCATTTTCTTTCAAAAAGAACTTTATTTCATAGGTAGAAAATTGCTATTGGCAACTGAAATATTATTTCTTTTTTTGTTTATAGCATTGACAAAATTGTTCCAATGGAATTACACTGAAAGAAATGCGCTTTATTCTTTATTAGAATTCTATATGCCATTATAAGACCATAGTATTGTATACTATATGTGACAGTTAAACGGGTGAATATTGGATATAAAACGCGTACTGCTAGCACAGTTGTATAGTGACTATGAACCTTATTCTTTATTAAATTATCGTATAACTAGTATACAACGTTTTTATACCCTTTACGAAATAATAGCAATAACTGTTATTAAAGTGTTCCATATCGTTATTAGAACATCTAGTACTTGTTATAAGTTTTTTAATAATAAATGTATTAAAATGTTGTATACTCTGTATGAGTTAAAAACAAATGATATTAAGTTTTCAGAAATTTTACTGGATAACTGTTATTACAAGTTAAGGTTGAAATGATGACAAATCGCTCCCAAAACTGTCCAGATTATTTTCTTAGCAACGATACACTCGTATTTTCTTATTACATGAGAATTTGCACTATAACTCTTCCACCTTAAGAATGAAGCATCCCCTGAAAGGTTGAGTTTCTTTCCATGTAATTCTATTTTCTCTGGTTGATTGACTTTATACCCATGCTCTTCTTTGTCACCGTTAACCTTCTGTTCCTCCATCTTATGTAAAACTTAACATCAGCGGTTTCTAATAGGGCATACAAAATAATAATTTTTAAGATGTAGACAAGATTTACATTTGAAAGAACAAAACAATTACAAGCCATAAAATAGTTAGATACTTACATAATTTTCCATCGCAACGCGATGTGATAATGTGTCCCACGAAACATGTGCCTATACTGTCTACTTTCATCAAACTAGACGTATAATAGTCGTAAGTCGATGCACAGCGGACTGTCGGAAATTTTACGATCATAACCGATTATGCACCGACAGGTGACGATCACTTAACCATTATAAGACGCGTTTTACACGTTAAAAACGGAAACATATTCAGTATAAGAACGAATAATTCTGTTAATACAATTGTTATATACAAATTCGGATACTGGTCTTTATACAACAAATCTTTCCTACTATACAATTGGAATATAAAGTCTATAACACATAATAATGTATAAGTAATTCATTATAACCTTTATTTCATAGATGCATAGGGTGTATTAAGCACCTTCCAGTTAAACTCATTGAATAATGAGTATGGAGATGATTGCTTTTTTTTTAATAAAAGTTGTATATTTGTTATAAAAGTTTTAATATGCGCAATACACATTATTCTAGATAAACAGTTTAATAAGATCATTTCTTTCAGTGTATAATAGTTCATAAAAAAAGGTTCAAGCCAAAATTATTTTTGTAGTTTTAATTAAGAAAATCATACATTTCATATTTTCATATTCATCTCTAAAGAATAGTTTTAAATAGAGTATTTCGTTAATGTACATCGTACACATAATAAAAATCTTCGGGATATCAAATTCAAGAACAAGTAACAGTGGTCATTAATACTTTTTATATAATTTACAATAATTGCCATAATACCCAACTGCGCCCAGTTTTTCATTATCGTAGTGTAGTTATAGGTTATTACAATAAATTTAAAGCATTTATTGGGAATTTATTGGCAAGTTGCTAAATCTTGTGTGCTTAATTTTTCGAACATTCTCAGTACTGAAACTTTTGTATAAATAAAAAGGATAAAATGCATAAAAGTAAACAGTATACAAAATAAAATAAAAAACATAGGTTAATGAACTCCACACCTTACACATTTTATTTGTGCGGTACAACCTCTGCGGGTCAAAACTGTGCAATGTATTGGGATCATTTCGTATGATGTCCATAGAAATTTATCAGCACACTCAATTATACGACAAAAAAGTACATAAGTATTAAATAAATTTTTCAGCGTCTATTTTATAATTTTTTTCTTTGCCTTATAGCGCAGTTATTCTCATATATCTATATAGTTTTTTGTCATTCAAATCCGAATATTACTGACAATATAATCGACGGCTTCGAATCACTTACGACATATACGAAACTTTATGTCATATAATAAAACTACCCAGTAGGGCAGCAGTTAGGGACTGTTCCATCACAGTGTAAATGAAGCAAACGTTTAATAATTTTATTAATCTGATAACACATTCTTAAATCTCTTTATGCCGGCTTCACAGTCTCGCTAAGCTAAGCCTACACAAAGCTACAGAGAGAGCGCTTGACTCACCTCGACTAGTTTCGCTTGGTCTTGTTAGCTCTCGACATCGCGTACATCCAATTCCGAGAAATCGAGGCACATTAACACTATCGTATAGATTAGTTAGTTTAACTGTCATCATACCCTTGGATTTCACAACTTAGTTTATGTAGAGTAGACCAGCGCATTGGATTTTAGTTTTTTCGAATTTTATCACGGAGATGCTATTTTGTGGAGTCCCTTCGTCTTTTTCACAGTAGTAAACACGAAGGAACATGTAGTCGATTATCTATTACTAGAGAGCTACAGTGGTACCATTTTCAACGAGATGTGCCTCATTTTGATGTTACAAAATTGAAGAAATTGATATCGGGCCGTTTCTCGACGAAAATATGGAGCTGGTATTAGACATAACATATTAATGTGTAATGCCGAACTCGGGTGACAGGAAAACTCGTGCTGGTTGCCCTCGCTTTATGGTAACTTAGATGTACAACTGGACTGGTAGAAGAGTTAGGTACTCACTTTTTTGCTACACTTGACACTTGTCTGCACTTTTCTATTTTTTTTTAATCACAGTTAGAGGCTGTAGCTTTAGCACAGGTCTTGCATCCTTTTCCTGCTTTTTTTTTATTCGCAGAATATACATATACATACGCTCGGTTAAAAATAGTAAGTATATCTAAACAGTGCTATGGAAGTCTGAAGATGATTTCGCGGTCTCACCAAGAAATTACTTCTAGATAATTAACGACACATCCCCTGGGTCGACGTTCGAACGTCATCCTCGTAGACTCCGTGAGATTGTCTCTTTAGCGTCTTGCTTGGTGGGTTTCGTTAATAGCGAGAATTTTTTTCTCCTTACGGTGGCGTTCACACTTCGTTCTTTAGGCGGTGTGAAGCGGCTACAGAGTATTTAGGTTGGAAGATTGGAAACTATAGCGAAAATTTATCTTCTCCAATACCATAGGTGGGCTTTAGTTTCTTGCGTCAGGTCTCTGTGACCGTAAAGAGGCGGTTTTTTGCAGTTATTGCGATTTTTTTTGAGGAATCGAAATTATTGTAGAAACTAACTAATGGGAAGGTAGGAGATTCTCTAGCTTGGCTGCGACAAAAAAAATTAAATCAAGTTGAGAAATCTTATAAAATTTCGCAAGGGTTGAAGAGGCAACGGTCCGAGACCATCTGCAAGAAAGGGAAAGCATCAGTCGCGATTACGGCTACTTGTAACAATGAGCCCGGCGTTATTAGATAAATCACTGCTTTCCGGAGCGAATTAATGTCTGGGTTGGAGTTTATAGGAGAGGCGTAGGTGTGCAGTCACAATGGTCGGCGGGCCGACGGGCTCACGGAACAGAAAATTACACGTGATGGCCGGATCCGGAGAGCCGAGGCGGCAAACGACCGCCGCCGCCGCCGGACCCCCGGCCCATGTTATCTCCCGTCCGCACGCCGGAGAGTGCAAACAATCGGAGTGTGCAGCGGAATCATTACACACATCGGGGGCGAAGGAACAGGGCCTCGCAGGAGGCCTTTCTATGGGAGTCGTGTTACCCATTGTGCTCTAATCCCCGTTACACTAACATTAGCGTACCTCCCCCGGCAGGCACGAGATCTGCTGCGAAAATATAATAATTGTTGCTTGCGTTAATGCAACTGTGAACGCATGCTGCACCCGGTATGCAATTTAAGACGCCCTCTCTCTGAAAGCAGTGTTTCTATAATTTGTACATTTTTAGGTATGTACTCGTATCTTCAGATAGAGTTGTAAAGGGTGTTTTTTTAGAGGTTTGATTTTTAAGTTAGCAACACTGTTTCTAGTGAGACATCGTGGTTCAGTTCGCCAAACTTATCGTGCGCTACGTCTGTTTTATGGTCGACATAATCGTCCATCGGAGCAAGTTATTCGAGCAACCATTAAACGTTTTCGCACCTCGCATACCTTAATTGATAACAAGCATCTGCGGAGACATCAAACAGTGAGCACCGAAGAAGTTGCTGCTGCTGTAGAGCGCAGTGTTGAGGAAGACCCAAATGTGTCCATCCACTTTATGGAAGATTTTAAGGAAAGATCTTGGTTTACGAGCTTACAAGATCCAGCTCGTACAAGAGTTACAGCTGCATGATCGTCGTACGTTCGGCATATGGGCCGAAGAAAGGTTTGCTCTTGACCATCATTTTTACAGCAAAATCTTATTCAGCGATGAGGCTCATTTTTGGTTGAACGAATACATCTAAACAGAATTGCCGGATTTGGAGCGCAGAACAACCAGAAGTCATTACTGAGACGCCGTTACATCCACAAAAAGCCATGGAATCATTGGCCCATATTTTTTCAAAGATGATGCCGGTCATAAGATTACAGTTAATGGAGAACGCTGTAGGTCCATGATTACTAACTTTTTTGTTCCTCAATTAAATGGCATGGGA